AGTTAGTAGTTAGTTAGTTAGTTAGTTAGTTAGTTAGTAGTTAGTTAGTTAGTTAGTAGTTAGTTAGTTAGTTAGTTAGTTAGTTAGTAGTTAGTAGTTAGTTAGTTAGTAGTAGTTAGTTAGTTAGTTAGTTAGTTAGTTAGTTAGTTAGTTAGTTAGTTAGTTAGTTAGTTAGTTAGTTAGTTAGTTAGTTAGTAGTAGTTAGTAGTTAGTTAGTTAGTAGTTAGTTAGTTAGTTAGTAGTTAGTTAGTTAGTTAGTTAGTTAGTTAGTTAGTTAGTTAGATAGTTAGTTCTTCAGTTCGCTAGTTAGTTCGTTGGTTTGTTACTTAGTTGGTTGGCTTGCTAGAGTGTTCGTTCTTTGAATTTGGAAAATTCTTCATCACTGTTCCGAAAGCTACAAATATGAATTTTATTTATTAAATGCTTAAAAGTAAGTACTTACATATACACTTATTTCCAAGTCATTAATAGACTCCTTCACAGTAAGTTATTGGGAAAGCACAACTCATTAACATCGTTTACAAGGCCCTTCTCTTACTTACTATGTTCACTTCAAAACCTTCACTTTTCCGTTATAATAAAATATTTGTTTCATTAAGTGCTCCTTAAGAGAATTCTTCCTAAAGTCGTACACCAACAACCAAAAGTAAAATGCCTCAAAATCTGTTGAATTTTACTGTGTAACTTTCACTTAAAGCTTCTTGAAGTTAAGGAAAAAAGCATAAGTTTTTTTTTTGATGTTTTCTTCTTTACTTTTATTGAAACAAAAAAAAAAAAAAGGAAATAAAAAAGTGAACGAAAACTTATTTATGTGTGAAGTATATGGTCCCTACGTGGGTGTTAACATTTCAAGGTGTTTTTTATTGAAGATTTGTAAAACTGTAAAAATGTGTTAATTGCGGCGTTCTTTTTTACGGCCAGAATGTGTGTTGAGGCGCGTGTTTTATTAACTCATAACCACCCCACCATATGCCCCCACAGGTCCTTGCACAGCATATTTCGAGCGTGTATTTAGTAGTTGAGTTGAGTTCAGCAAATACTTACATACTTGACGACCAACAACATTAAATGTCTACTTTTTAGACTACTTTTTTCCTGAGATTTAAATTAAGTGAATTTTAGAGAGGATGGGGAGAATTACAGTGAAAGCGTATGTAAATGAGACTGTAGAGTCCTTTAAATGTTTTACTATTGTCATAGAGAATATATTGTGAAGTAGCTGTGAGGACAAAAAAAAATATATAGGAAGTTGATATGCAAATATAAAAAAAAATGAAAATAAACCATAGATACTTATGCATCAAGCATTTTAGTTGGATTAAGATTTTGTTGCAAACTGCAAGTCATTTGAATTTTATCATCTAGTAGTTTTTTATATTCTACAGTTTTCAGTATTTTTATTGTATGTGCTTTTTTTTCAACACGTTTGTATAATGTTTTTTTGTTTTCCTTTTCAAATAGTACGGATACTGCGGAATCTTGGAAATTTGCAAATTCTGATGTCATACCAGCTACAGGCATTATGGTATTTGGTGAGTATAAAAACAAGGTTAAATATTTAATGCTCTTACACATACTGATGTACATACATACTATTTACATACATAACTACACCTGTGGATAGAAAATGAATGAATATAAAACCGATAACATTTATTTTCTGAGTAATGTAGACGGTATGTAGCAGTCATTAAAAAGTAAGTTGTTGTTATAGAGATTCGTGATGGAATCCCACACATTTATTAAAAGTTCACTAGACAATTTCCCGTCCAATCAAGAATAATTGACTGACAATAGAATGGGATGATGGAAACCCTACCAATTGGACACTCCTCTCACGTGGCCGCGTAGATACGTTACCCAATGATATTTGCACCTTTAACCAATATTCTCAAATCGTTTAAAGATAACAGCTGCTTGGCTGTGAAAGGCGCCTCGTATCTTACATGCGATACGTTCGAAGGAATGTCTAGTAATATTTCCTCCCTTTTTGGTGTCGGTTATAAAAAGTGTGTAATGTTCCCTATTAAAATAAACTTTTAAAACAATTGAAATTAATTTTCTATCCACATGTGTAATACGGACTTAAACAAACACACACATCCATTTGAACACCTCTACAGGTAAACCAAATATTTATGTGAGTGTAATAAAAATAACACAAACTTTTCATTGAGTAAACCTAGTCAGAGGAAGAAGTAATAAAACGAGTTTTTTTTTATCTATCATAGATTTTGAAAAGCGTTGTTAGATTTATTTAGACAAAATGTTTGTTTTATTTCTTTATTATTTTTTTCGTTCTTCAAGATAAACGAAGACATTATAAAGACATTTACTGTGAAATTTAGAACTTATGATAAAATTTTTAGTTGCAAAAGTTAATTAGCATACTTAAACAAGTTTCTGTTTTGTTTTATTTTATTTAATTCAAATATAATTTACGCTAGAAAAATAATTTTAAACAAACATTATGTAAATTGGTTTTAAGTTTAAAAAATAT